GCGCTGGTTTCTTAAATCTGCCTCCTATATATAGCATGTTATAAAAAAAACTAATTCATAATATTTTTATGAATGTATAGAAAAGAACTTATAATTAGATATAACATAAAATATATTTTTATAATATGTATTTAATAGATATCATAAATATTCATGTTCTTTTTTATAAATTACATCAAACATGTAAAAAACATTGATTTAAGACAAGAATAATTTATTTAGAAAGCCGATGAAGTGCAAACATATAGCATATAACTAATTTAAGGAGAATGTTCAATACAATCAAAACTCTGATAAACTAAGAAGAATATGTTTTGGGACTTCCTCCACCAACTCTCTCTGATCTACATACATAAACTTTATAGTGGATCCCAACTTAAAAACCCACGGAATATAAACATGGAGAGAACTTCCATATTTAGCATCACAAAATGGCGCAACTCCTTATTGCTTCCGAAATATAAAAAGTTCCCCAAAATAGCATTGACTTAATTTTTGATTCCCTAATGCCTTTAATTTGATGGGAAAAGACCATTTGCCCTATTTTTTCATATGTAACACCAACACATTAATGTGATTTTCTAAACAGATTTTTAACAGTACCATTTTTTGACATTGAACATATTTTTTGCGGTACATTTTTTACGTTGAACAATTTCTTGCAGTACCATTTCTTTGCACAAATTATTTATGAATTATGACAGCATATTTTTGGACAATGTACCACACATGAAAAACAGGGGCAAAACAATCTTTTTTCCCTCCAAGTTAACTGTGTTAGATGTCAGATCTAACGGTAGTGCTATTTAGGAGACCAAAACTAAAGCCAAATACTATATTGGGAAACTTTAATCTTATTACGATGCTAATGAGCGTGCATCTTTCTCCGATGCTAAAATAAGGAATTTTCTGGTAAACATGCCTTATTATATTGGACAGCGGAGCAGGCAGCCGCCAAAGGCGACCCAGATGCTGTGGTCAAAGTCGCGGTCCACGCGAGCCACTTGCGAGTTGCTTGCTACTAGGCTTTACAATCCACAGCTCCGTGACTCCATCACCGCCGTCACCAGTCAACACCACCATGAAGAATCCTTGGCTCCCCTATGCCTCGTCCCCCTCCTGCTAGCCGTGTCCTCGTCGCTGCCTCTCTAACCGCCGCCGTGTGGCGGCCTCTGCGTTCCCCTGCCGCACGGCAGTCGCCTGTCGAGTGCGTCGGCGACGGCGTCTACGCTGCTAACAGCACCTACCACTGCCAACCTCCGTCGCGTCGCCGCCCTCCTCCTAGCCGAGGTATCCGCCACGCCCGGCCACTCTTACGCCACCCGTGCCGTCGGGTACTGGCCGAACCGGTTGGTGGCCAGCTCCCCTTGCTGGCCCGGCTACCGCTGCGCCGACTGCATCGCCGGGGCCTTCCTGGAGGTGGAGAGCGTGCCCGTACCGCAGGGAGGCCTTGTTTTCCGATCGCAACTGCACTCTCGAACTTGCCGAGATCCGCATCTTCGGGACTGTTGGCATCTTGCGTGAGTTCTTCTTTTGGCCTTCTGCCATGCTTCGTAAGTTTGTATACAAAAAAGTCTTGCCGGTTTTTTCAATTTTAACAAGCTTTGCTTCTAGGGAACACAGCCTTAGCTTTGCCATGTCACCTATAGATTTGTGGCAACTGATCGACTGGCTCAGGATTGAGATTTAATTTGGAGACTTATATTGTCACACAATAGCCTAAGTTAGCAGTGGAATGTAGCAGCTATACAGATTAGAAGCAGAGGAGTTTCAGGAGCAGGCTAAGCATTGTGTTCAGACTTGTTTTGGCATGTGTTAAATTTCTTTTAGCTTTGTCCTGCTAACCTGTGCATTCTCGAATGCAACGGTCAGAATTCATATTCCATTGTTTAAATGAATATATGAGGTTGCTTTCTTTCTTACCCAGCACCTCAAATTTATCATTGCCTACATTCAAGTGTTTTAACTCAATGGCTATATACATTCATTCGTGGATGCAGAGGCCAGAGTGTTGTTCCTTCATCTAAAAAAAATGTTTTAACTTAAAACAATTTAGGAACTAATGTTCACTTACATATGCATTAACTGAGGTTCTTGTGTGTTTTCATTTCAGAAGGAACATACTGAAACAAGTCATGGCTGCGGGATTGGTATTTCAAGCAATTGGATTTGGTTGCCTTTTCTTCTTGCTATTTCAGGAATGGCGCAGCCGGAAAAGAGGCACTTCTATGTAAGACCCCACTTAAAAACATAATAAGAGCTGATCGATCCCATATGTCGTTCTAAATCGAACTATGCTTCCCTATATGACCCATATAAAATTTCTGAAATACAGTTATTTTCTTCTAGAAGCAAATGATTTGAATTTTTTTATCAAAATGCCACACCTTTAAACATTTCTCTGAATTTGGAGTACCTGGATAAATATTTATTTACTTTGCTTTCTTACATCATGCAGGGATTCCACCCCTCTTTTATCGGGTGATTAAAATGTTGGCAACACAATTTTGAGCTGCGTTGTGTACAAAGGCATATGTAACAGTAAAATGGATGCATGAAGGGATCGGATTTTTTTTTTCTCAGGGGAATAAAGAATGAATACTTCCTCTCCACGTTGAGGACTTCAATTTGATCGTTTCAAGCTAGTTCAAATGTTCATTTCACCTACTCTGATGTTTTCATTGGAATTTCATTCCCCACTTGTCAATATATCGAGCACTGAGGCGAGAGGAGATCACGAGAAGCACGAGGAGAGGAGCTGGCCACCGCTGGCCGTTGGGTGTAGGCTGTAGCAAGTGGCGCCCGTGTGGACGACGACTGTGACTGTTGACGTCTGCATGAGACGTAGTACCACGCAGTTTCGTAGGTGCTGTTATTAGCCGCGTAGGTACCGTCACCAGCAGGCTTCTGGTGGACGACTTTGACTACTAATAACCTCAGGATATAGAGGAGCCGGCCGGTCAATATAGAGCACTGAGTACTAATAATCTCCTCTCACCATCACCCCCGGTCAATATATCGAGCACTGAGTTTACTCTCTCTCTCTCTCTCTCTCTATTTATATATATATATATATATTTGATACATTTATATACTCCGAGAGTAGTTACTCCTATGATCAATAAATCACGTTGTGTATGTGTACATGCTCATTTATCAGTTTGAGTAGGTTGACGTACTAATATTAAGATACTCCAGATCTTTACTATGTGAATTTTTTTTCAAAAGAACGCATATTTTTAATATATTATATAATACTATGATAATAGCGTATAAAATAAGTATAACCATATACTCTAAAGTATACATACATACTTGTCATACATAGTACCCTAAATGGTTTAGTGCGATGATATACTCCATCTAATGTACACTTAGTTGGGCCATATCGTCATAAATTTAGAGATATACATATGGGAGTAACTACTCTATGGGAGTAGAAAATAATTTCATATATATACTCTATGGGAGTAACTACGCCCTAAATCTAGAGATGTACACATGGAAGTAACTCAAAATAGCCACAGAATAAGTTATTCTATGGCCCGCTGCAGAACCGTAGTTCTTTATATATATATATATATATATATATATAAAGAACCGGTAGTCCTCGCCAATCGCCATCACCCCGGTCACCACCCACCATCATGGAGAATCTCTCCCTCCTTTCCTTGGTCGTCGTCCTCCTGGCCGCCTCGCCCCTCGCCGCCGCCGCATGGTCGGAGTCGGCGTCGCATGCAGTGGGAGGAGCGGTAGTAGCTACACGGGGCTAACAACACCTACGAAGCCAACCTCCACCACCTCGCGTCCGTCCTCCCGGCCGATACCTCTGCTTCGCACCGTCACAGCGTGGAGCGAGCTGCTGGACCTGGACCGACGACGACGGTGACTGCGCCACCTGCATCGCCGAGGCCTTCAAGGAGGTGGAGCGCGTCTGCCCGTTCCGCAGAGAGGCCACCTTCTCCGGTGACGACTGCAATCTCCATCTTGCCGAGTTCCGTATCTTCAGCATCGATGTCTTCTGTAAGTTCTGCGATTACATACTGACAGCCCCAAACGAACAGTGTTTTCCTTTCACAATAAACAAGCACCAACCAATTTGTCTCGCTGCGAGATACTATTACTGCTTGTGTGCTGTGGCCAAGATTTCCTGAAAAGAAACGCCGCATGAAACAGTCCCTGTGCCAAAACTTAACGGTGGCAATCACCCAGCAGAGTAGCATCAGACACAAGAGCAATCGATTCACAATGCAAATAAGCAGTTTTGCCTGACAACTAGCCATGCAAAATTTTCAATCAGATACAAACAAGCAGCTCGCCGTTTCGTACTTGTCAGATTAATGGCTACTGGATAGTTCACAATTACTATGCTTTAAATTAGGGTTAATTGGATTGGAACCATTATAATTCTCACGTTTCTTAGAAATACTATTACTATTGGTCTTATTGTAAGTGTGCAATTACAATTACACTAGAGTCGAAAAATGTCATTATATACACTTGCACGACACTGCATGGCTCACATGCAGTGTATATATGACCACGATACATTCGTATGGACTGTTTTGCCCTAGATTCTCCATACATGTGCGCCGGTTTGACCTGGATCAACTCAATCCACCCATTCCCCACCGCCTCCTCTCTCTCTCGCTCGAACCCTAGCTCGTCCGCCTCAGAGGTGATCGCGACCGCGGCGGGCGGCGACTATCGCTGCGACGCGGCGGCCGCGTGACTACCGAGGACGTCGTCGACCGCGACTACTGCTGCTCCTTCCCGCCCCATCTGCTGAAGCGGAGATGGAATCCACGACTACGGTTCAAGTGCTAGCTTGAGTTGGTGGTCTCCCACGGATCGATTGCCCCAAATGCAAGATCCATTTCATTAGGCGAAAGAGCAAGGCTGGCAATATGTATTACACTTGCCCCAACAATTTCCTGATAATTTGTCTTGCTTTTCCTTTGATGTTGGGTTCCATGTTCGTCCAACTGCAAATAGTGTTAAGTGGGTTGGGGTTTTGATTGTCAATTGCAGAACGATGACACTTGTGCGAACTATTGGTTTGAGGATCAATACTTGGCCTATCTACGCGCCAATCATCCAGACAAGCTCAGGGATGTGGAAGTGGAAGGTGTACATGGCCCTTTTGTTGCTCCTGTGGTTCAAGGCATAGAACAGAAGAGTGACACAAAGATTGGAATGATGGACTTGAAGGTTCAGATCATTGACTTGAAGGTTGACATTTTAAAGTTGGAGCAGGAGATGAAAGAATTGAAGAATGGAGGATTGAACAAGGCTTTTAGCTTAGGCAATGCATTAGTTGCTGTGGTGATGCTAAATCTGTTTGTAAGCCTCTTAGTTGCAGCAATTTGAAAATGAAGTAGTATGCACCTTGGTTCCAATAATTTGGAGTTTAGTGATCTTAGCCTGTAGGTTGTCAAGTGCTACTACTAATTTCTGTCTGTGCAACTGTGTATCTGTGATCAAGGAATGTATGTTTATGTAGGTTCTGTGAATTTATGATGAATCTGTCAATGTGAGCTGTAGCATTTGGTGGCAGAGATGTATGTTTTGCAAAGGCAAGCTGTACTATGAAAGGTTCCACATGACCTGAAAAAAGAACAAGTGGATTTGTATGTGAATTTGTGATGAATCTACCAATGTGAATATGTGAATTTGTAATGATTTCTAAAGCGAAGAGGGGAAGAAACACAAGCTGTATTATGAAAGGTTCCACATGACCTGAAAAACGAACAATTGAGCCAGCAAGTGAAAAACAATTAGCCTGGCAATGGTGTTGCGACAATGGAATGGAATGGAACCCGCTACATAGTTGAAAGGTTCCTGTCACCTTCCAGATAAACACAGAGAAGCAGCTCACCTTCCAGATAAAAACAAGCTGTACTATGAAAAGTTCCTGTCACCTTCCAGATAAACACAGAGAAGCAACTTAAAAGCAACTAGCAATGGTGTTGTGACAATGGAATGGAATGGAACCCGCTGCACAGTTGAATGATCTAATTAACCTGCTTTGAAAGCAAAAGTAGAAAACACACTTGACAAGTGGACTGAGGTTCCAGATCTTGGCATTCATCAAGTATTCGGTGCTGACCATAACAGACATCGAGTTTAGGCCCTAGCATACATCAAGTTCAGGCCATACCATACATCAAGTTCAAGGCCTACAATACATAACGTTCAGGCCACAAAAGAAACTGTCACATGGTGTTTAAGGCCTATAATACAACAAGTTCAAGGCCTACAATACATCAAGTTCAAGGCCTACAATACATAACCTTCATGCTTGTGATCACAACAAATCACATGGTGTTTAAGAAGTCATTCTGGCTTCTCACAACACTAGCTATTGGAGCAGCAACTTTCTTTTGCTGCTTCTTTTTTTTTTAGGTGTCTTCTTCTTCTTAGGTGTTTTCTTCTTCTTGGGTGCACCCTTCTTCTTAGGTATTGTCTTCTTCTTCTTCATTTGTGAAGGTCCAGCACTGTCATCATCTTTCAACTGTTGCCTTTTCCTACAGATGCACACTATGATTAGCAAAAACTAGGGAATGTCACAAGAATTGGAAAGAGACATACAAATCATTTTACCTTTTTCCTTTGAATTCAGTCCAACTTCACCATCTTCTCCTAGCTCTGGTTGTTTGCAAGTCTTAGAGAAGTGCCCAAAATCTCCACACCTTTTACACCTAACCTTCTTCTTGGTAGCATTTTTCTCAAGGCAACCTCTAATTCCCACCGCTCTCGACCTGCCTATAGCTCTACCTAGCAGAGGAGGAGAACTTTTGAAGCCTAGGTCAACTTTGTAGCCACTTTGTGACTGTCGGCAATGGCTCAACTCTAGAAGCATATGCAGCCCTCAGAATCTCGAACAAAGTAGTACTCATGCACAAAATCTGCTATTTTAATTCCTCTGTTGGAAAGAATCCATGCCAGGGCATGTTTGTATGGTTTTTCTGTGATTTGCCACCCCCTACATGAATAGGAGTGACCTTGCAGGTCAACCATGTGCCTCTTGTGGTTGTTCCAGTCATCTATAAGTGTTACTTCAGCTACGCCTTCATCACTTCTTGCAACCTTCACAACTTTAAAGTTTTTGCTTATAGTGTTCAGGTCTTTGATGACATTAGGCAGTATACCATCCTGCATATCCTTACCAATCTACCTTCTTAAGTACATCTTTTCCATTATGAGTTCCCTAATCCCATCTACCAGTTCATGCAATAGAAGTCCTTTCAACTTCTTTATCTAAGCATTGAAACTCTCAGAAACATTATTGGTCAAATAGTCACATTTACTTAGCTCTAAAAATCCACACCTGTACCATATCAACTTGTGATGTTGCTGAAGGAAGTCAATGGCATCTGGGGAAAAATCTGCTATCTTCTGCATGTGCCACCTAAACAACCCTTCTGTGTAACTCCTTGCAGTAGGGTATAGGTGGTCGAAGAACACATCTCCTTGATATCTTTGCTTCATAAAGTTGTTGTACATGTGCCTCATACACTCTATGTACTCCACTTTAGGGAACACTGCACCCACAACCTTCTCAAGTCCTTTACAAGCATCAAGTACATATGACTAAACCTATAGGTGAACCCTTTGCTCTATGCAAATCACTGCATGAACCACTTCCAATTGTCTTACATTTTAGAATAAAAAACACCATATGCCACATGGTATAACCAGGTTGTGCCCATCCATGCCAGATTTTTTGATGCCAACCGCCCTCTATATTTGCCATGCAATGCAGCGCATCTACACCTATAAATGGCCTACAACCAGCTTTAAGAAGCCATCAATACATGGCTTCAGGCTACAAAAATCCTCTTGAAGCGCTTCTTCTTCTTCCCTTCTAACTCTATCTCTACAATGCTGCTTGGGAGAACTTATTTCTATCTATGCTTTCCAATTGAACAATAGATGAAAACTTTTGAGTACTTCCCATGAACCTGTTGTAGGGCAACCTTCAAACCTGACCATGCCTAGGAGTATTTCAGTTTAATGCCATAGTCTCCTTCTAGCTTTTCCTTTGCATCCTTGGCTCCTTGATTTGGGTTCTTCTTGACCCAGTCTGCCAACCTATCTGCACACCAACCTTGACTAGCCATCTTTCCCTCCCTCAGCTTGGTAGTGGGACAATTATGTTCGATGAGTAGGCAATGTTTTAATCTACATAAGAAATTAAGATAAATATCATATGTATAACTGAATAAGTTACAAACAGTAATAAAAGGACCACACCAACCTGTATTGTTTTATTATCAAAAAATCCTAAATGCATGAATTCTCCATGGGCACCCTTCGGCAGCACAATGTGCAATGAATCTTGTCTTGTCAGTTTGCAACTTAGCTAACTCAAAACCTTTCTTGACAGTGTAATGTCGAATAGCTTTCCTGAATGTTACTATGTCAGGAAACAATTGTCCCTTGACAATCTTTGGATTTTTAAGATCATGGAGGACATTTATTTCCTGGGGATCTGCATCATCAATTTCTGCCTCAAGAGGAGCACCTCCATCAGCAACAACATGATCAACATTATCAATGGTTGGGCACTGTTAGTGTTGGCTGGGTGTGTAGGTGGTACTGAAATGTAGATGTGCTCATCATCAACCCCAACATACTCCTCTTCATTGTCAAAGATGTCTGGCTCTCTATCAGGCTCTACGTTCGACTCATCGACAGTACAAGGATTTGCATCAGTAGAAGCTTGGGCATTTGGAATGGCAGCAGAAGAAGCATTTGCATTTGGAATGGCAGCAGAAGAAGCATTTGCAATTGGAATGGCAGTAGAAGAAGCATTTGCATTTGGAATGGCAGCAGAAGAAGCATTTGCATTTGGAATGGCAGTAGAAGAAGCATTTGTATTTGAAATGGCAACAGAAGAAGCACTTGCATTTGGAATGGTAGTAGTAGAAGCACTTGCATTTGGAATGGCAGCAGTAGAAGCATTAGTTGCATTTGTAATGGCAGAAGCACAAGCATTTGCATCAGGATTGAAATCAGTAGGGTTGACTGCTCCATCATCAGGTGGAATAACACATAAAGGCTCTGTCAACTCAAACTCAAATGCATCAAAAACAACATTATCAAAGACTCCTATCAACACACAGCAACACATTTCAGACTTATACATGTCAAACAAATCTATCATCTGAATGTCACTGACTAATCTGACATCTTCTTGCACATTCTTGTCAAAGAACCACAGAGATGCAGACTGGTTAGAGGCCCATTGAAAGCTCTAGTTTGGTTTTGGTGAATTGATGAAACCCTAAGTGCTAACCTAGTTTATCAAGTGATCATGAAATAGATAACACATTCCAAGTGGTGAAGCAAATAAAGATCATGACATAATGATGGTGATGCCATGGTGATGATCAAGTGCTTTGACTTGAAAAGAAGAAAGAGAAAAACAAAAGACTTAAGGCAAAGGTATAAATGGTAGGAGCCATTTTGTTTTGGTGATCGAGACACTTAGTGAGTGTGATCACATTTAAGATCGATAGTTGTACTATTAAGAGGGGTGAAACTCGTATTAGAATACGATTATCAAAGTGTCACTAGATGCTCTAACTCATTGCATATGCATTTAGGATCTACTAGAGTGCTAACACCCTTGAAAACATTTGTAAAAATATGCTAACACATGTGCACAAGGTGATACACTTGGTGGTTGGCACATTTGAGCAAGGGTGGAGAAGTTAGTGAAATGAAGGAGGTGCTAGTCACTGAGAAACAGTGACCGAACACTGGTCACGCCGTGACCGGACTATTTGGGTTCGGCGTCCGGTCGAAGGCGTATTTGGTGCTGTGATTTTGGTCTCACGATCGGATCTTGCGCAGTAAACCGATTGAACGCTTCGGGGCTCGAGTCCGGTCGATCTAACGTTGGAGTGACCGGACGCTGGGTGTGTCTGTCAGTCGAGCATGACCGGGACGCGTCCGGTCGTGAAAAAGTCATCTCTGGATGCTATTGAAATGACCGGACACTAGGGCTCGAGTGTACGGTCATTTTGAGCTTCGCGTCCGGTCATCACTTGACCGATTGAGATCAGACGATCAGCGTTTGAAGAGAGAAACATGTGGCGTACATCTCATGATCGGACGGCGAGGTCCAGCCGTCCGGTCAATCGACTCAGTCGCGTCCGGTTGGCCCGTGTTCGATCAAAGTGAGGTGAGCCCAACGACTCTATTTTGTGGGGGCTTCTATTTAAACCCCATGGCGGTTCAAGCTCACTCTCTTGGCCATTTGCATTGACATAGCAACCTTGTGAGCTTGGCCAAAGCCCTCCCACTCATCTTCATCATAGATTAAACATTTTTGTGAGATTGGGAGTGAATCCAAGTGCATT